ACTCCACTATTTACATAGATACGAGTCTCTACTTTACACTCCACTATTTCTATAGGAAAACAACATTTACCTCCGCCGGCTTGGCACGTCACTATTAATGGATCGTCTTCATTGTAAGGTCCAACGAGGCCTTTAAGTTTTTGTCCTTGTTCGTCCAAGATGACTGGTTCTCCAGGAGGTACTGCCCATGCGTAGAAATAAAGTAACGATAAGCCTAGATGTAATTTGAAACGTACAACAGGTAAGACATTAATACGGAAGTCAAATACCACTTTACAAGTTACTCGGGTTTATGTGGCGTCTTGGGAAATACATCTATCGCAACTCGCGCCGCGACTATATGAACGTCACTGCAAATAACTATAAGAAACGAACGTTTTTGGTAACCATGGTAATTATATTGAATTTGTAAGGCATCTATGTTCGCTGAAGAACTATAGAATTAAAACTTTTGTAACCATAGTAACTGTGTTGAGTTTATAAGGCACCTTTGTGCGTTGATGAAATATAAAAGTGAAATGCTGGTAACCATAGTAACTATGCTGAGTTTGTAAGATATGTATTAAATGCTGGTAACCATAGTAACTATGCTGAGTTTATAAGGCACTTTTATGCGTTGATCAAATATAAAAGGGGAAATGCTGGTAACCATAGTAACTATGTTGAGTTTATAAGGCACTTTTGTGCGTTGATGAACTATAAAAGGGAAATACTGGTAACCATAGTAACTATGCTGAGTTTGTAAGATATGTATTAAGCTAGCACCTGATTTCTCACCTGATACCTCAGTCAATTATATGCACATTGTTACACCCCAGGGAGATAAGTTAGAATATAGGTTAAAAAATCGACTAGCTGTTTCTTTGACTTTATTTAAAAACTTATTCGACCAATCCTCTCAGAGTGCAGAGTGCCTTAAGACAAACAAACAGAAAAAAAAAACAGTTTTTAGGTAATGGTTTCAGTTTTCAAAATAACACCGATACACTACAAAGTGTCCCTAAAGTTTGGGCTTCGTTTCTTTGCAAGATTGTTTGAAATAATGTCACCGAACGTTCACAAACGTGTGGAAATAATCTCACTTCAACGTCTTCGATACTGTACAAACGTTTTGATCACGTTCTGTAAACTTGTAGAGAATCAGCTTATGTCGACCTTATTTTCAAGATGTGTTTTTTTTTGGCATAAGTCATTAAGATCATTGTGAACGGAAGACTGCTCATCATTTCTATAAGCTTCAAGTAATCCGCAACGTTTATGATTCTACTAAATATGTGTTGATTTAAACCACTGTTGTGTATAAAATTCTTTGTGTGTATTTCTCATTATAGCTAGCGAACCGTTACACCGATTGTCACCAAACCAAGCGTGTACAATGGCTGCTATTATTATTGTTTACATCTGGTTCTTTAACCTCCGATGTTTTTTTACTGTTTATGTTAGCTTCTCTGGCATTGATTCCTTCTTTATTGTTTACATCTGGTTCTATAACCTCCGATGTTTTTTACTGTTTATGTTAGCTTCTCTGATATTGATTCCTTCTTTATTGTCTACATCTGGTTCTATAACCTCCGAAGTTTTTACTGTTTATGTTAGCTTCTCTAGCATTGATTCCTTCTTTATTGTTTACATCTGGTTCTATAACCTCCGATGTATTTTACTGTTTATATTAGCTTCTCTGGCATTGATTCCTTCTTTATTGTTTACATCTGGTTCTTTAACCTCCGATGTTTTTTACTGTTTATGTTAGCTTCTCTAGCATTGATTCCTTCTTTATTGTTTACATCTGGTTCTATAACCTCCGATGTTTTTTACTGTTTATGTTAGCTTCTCTAGCATTGATTCCTTCTTTATTCTAAGGACATTACAGATTTCTAGTGTAATTACAAGAGAAGAAAAAAGAAGAAACTCTACTGTGTATCCGTTTAATCTAACAATGGCTACACTCTATTACTTCTTTAATCCAACAATGGCTACACTCTATTACTTTTTCAATCCAACAATGGCTACACTCTATTACTTTTTCAATCCAACAATGGCTATACTATATTACTTTTTAATCCAACAATGGCTACACTCTATTACTTTTTAATACAACAATGGCTACACTCTATTACTTTTTTAATCCAACAATGGCTACACTCTATTACTTTTTTAATCCAACAATGGCTACACTCTATCTACTTTTTTAATCCAACAATGGCTACACTATATTACTTTTTAATCCAACAATGGCTACACTCTATTACTTTTTAATCCAACAATGGCTACACTCTATTACTTTTTTAATCTAACAATGGCTACACTCTATTACTTTTTAATCCAACAATGGCTACGCTCTATCACTTTTTAATCCAACAATGGATACACTGTAATACTTTTTAATCCAACAATGGCTACACTCTATTACTTTTTAATCTAACAATGGCTACACTCTATTACTTTTTTAATCCAACAATGACTACACTCTATTACTTTTTTAATCCAACAATGACTACACTCTATTACTTTTTAATCCAACAATGGCTACACTGTATTACTTTCTTAATCCAACAATGGATACACTGTATTACTTTCTTAATCCAACAATGGATACACTGTATTACTTTTTTAATCCAACAATAGCTACACTCTATTACTTTTTTAATCCAACAATGGCTACGCTCTATCACTTTTTAATTCCACAATGGCTATACTCTATCACTTATATCTGTACAATAAATCAATATTTGTAAAATCAATAATTGTTTGATGGTTCTAAACTAATCTCGACTTTATGTAAAATAATTCTGGTTGCAGTGTTTCTTGAAAACTTACTTAGCTATCCAGTTTACTGTTTGATAAAGAAACTCAGGTGAGTTCAAAGCCTACCATTATTTAAACAGTTAACGCGTTCTTTTCTTCACCCCAGACTCTTATGCCATTAAAATTAAATTACGGTCATTATGTAAATAAATCATGAACAAAGTATTGAACCTCACTGACGTCTTGTCAATATGATTAATTCTCTC